CAGTTAATCGTTCGCTTCAGTCCCTGGTTAAATATCATTACTCGGCGACAATCAATCGTCTTATAACGTATTTACAAATGTTTAAATAAATAAAGAAGATATCATTGTAATAAAGTAATCATAAATATGATTTAAGTAAACAAGAGAACGAGACAGATGAGAATTGTATGCACATATATATATATATAAAATACACGGTTTTTCGAGTAATTCATCACATGAGTTACTGCACTGACAATGAGTGCGTGATTAAATGAGACCTGTTTTATCCCATTCGATAAACGAATTTCCATCGACACGTGTCTGCCTATGTATGTACTCTTATCTTTCCGTAAAAAAAAATGCAGAACGAGCACGTATCGTAGAAAGTCTTTGGACTTCGATTAACGTATATGTAGATCCAGCCATTAAATGTCTATTCGTTTAATTTCCTAATATGCACCTTTTTGAACAAATCACGATTAATAAACTTAATACAAAAAGAAAACGATTGTAACTAAAGTTTTGATTTATTTCTAACAAACAGAACAGCTTCCCTAAATTCTTCACGAAACAAATGAAACTGAAAAAATTCAGGCCAACAATTTTAATCGTTAATTATGAAAATTATAGAATAAATCGTATCAGAAAATCGATAGCGGTTTTACAAAATAAATTACCGAATTAAACGACCAAAGGCTGTGAATTTGTTCGCTTCAATCGTTTCTACAAACTCTGCGATCATCGAACTTATGAGAATCCACAAGATCGACGATCCCATAAAATGAAAATTCTATTGATCATCTTCGTCTCTGTTCCCGCTAATGAACGTAAATCTCGTATACATTTACAGTACGCGTCGACTGGACTAGATTTATACGTTGAAAACGGAGCACCGTGTGTGTTTTCTTGCGCTCCGATCAGTTTTCATTGAAAACACCACCCGATCGAACGACAAACGTCGCACGTTCGCGATGGATTTCCAAGACCGTTCGCCGAACGATCTTCTATCATCGAAAAGAACAGCTCCCTGAGCCTGCCTATCACGCGTTTACACCGCCGCTCGTTGACTGCCCACTCATAAGAAACGGGCCCGCTATAAACGTTACATTAACTCGATTCATACGTACCGCGGTTTAGCGTTAGAACGAAACAGCCGCAAGAAACGCGTAATGACTTCTTCTGTTACTCGACTTTAAAAAAACACATTTACGAATCAATTTTACTGCCTAACGAGCGGCAGGTTACAACTAGTAACAATGAATCTGATGGCTCGGGCTTCTGTTAATTATCTTTAGGGGAACAAAATTGAAAACGAGTAATAAACTACGTAAATCTACGTTTTATCAATGCAATGCTGTTAGATTTTGTCATAATTTTGACGCGACAAAATAAAAACAATTTTAATATACGGTTGCAATTGTAATAGTGCGTAAATTGTTTTCATTTTGAAACGTGAAAATTATGTAAAAATCTAGAAGCATCAATGACAGATCAAAAAATAAGATATAGACTTGTCACTCGTTTTGAATTTTGTTTTGGGGGAAATTAACACAAGTCCGAGCTGGCTCAGATTCGTTGTTACTAGCTGTGTAACGTGATACACGAAATAATGATCGGAATTACTTTCTTAGTGTGTTAAGTACCGAAAAGCTGGTACGCTAAGTACTCGCTCGACCCCGTCCCGAGGATGACAGGTGTCCGTAATAACGTTCTACTCGCGATGCCGAGTCGGAGGAAGAGTTAATTGCCTGAACTCTTCCCAACGAGCCAGCCGTGGCAAAACATCGTTTCGATTGTCGTTAACAACTGTACTAGGATCTCGACGCTCGCGCGCACGTTACCATAAGTAGCCTCGATTTTACCTCGTCGACTGATTTGGTTAAATCTTTTTAGCGCACCTGCCACGCAATTATGCGAGCTATTTTCCCGCTGTTAGCATTCTATCCAGCCGTTTCATAAGCTTCTTCGCGCGAACGGATACGCGGAGTGGGCCTGTCGCGAGCTGCGTCGATGAATCAATTCCGAGAGCGGGAACAAATTATGCAAATCGATTAATAATAAGCGATCTGTCTTACGAGAGATTAATGCCTTTTTTGAGAACAACATTCGCCTGGAGAGAGGAGAAGAGATTTATGAAACGATCTGATAGAGGCGATTACCTTCATTGCACTTCTCCGAGTAATTAATGATGTCGATTAATATTACATTTTTCCAACCGAGTTCTTCAGCGACAAGCGTTAGTAAGTCGGAAGAACGTATTTATCGAATTTACGAGTCATCGCGTAGCATTTTAATTCAATGCAGAATCATAGCTAACGTTATTCGCGCTTCGTACGAATTACTCGGCGTTCCTCCCTGTACACGAAAGAAAATAACCGTACTTTCATTGACACCGGATACGATGAGCCTCATCGAGAATTTCGATATTCATCGTCCGGAAAAGAAAGTCGGATGTCGTCCGGAACTTCCTTCGCCGCGCTGATTCGTTATTCAGCTTGCACGCAACGCACGATTTTGACGTCCGTCGACTAACGCGTTCCCGATAGCGAAATATTAAGAGTATTAAATAAATTGTCGTAACAATAATTCCTCAGCACCGAGAGTGAAGACCCGACGCGTTACCGCGGATCTAAACTAGACAACGCGACGCCTAAGCGTCTTGGACGGAATAGCACCGACGTCGAAACTTCGACACCGTAGAAAAGCCAAGAAATTAGAGGCAAACCTAGCGTACGAATTAACGAAAGAAAAACCTCGTTCTGTGGCTGTACTTCCTACATCGATTCTGTGTCTCTGATGAAATCGCTAGAACAATTAAGTTCAGCTGTGGAATCTACTGAAACTCCATAACGAAACCGTTTCGTTCCCCTTTAAATGAAAACGCGACGATCTCCCAACGTGTTTCTGAAACACGTTTACGTGGCTCATGTTGAAAATAGATAATCCAAGGCAGAGCGCAGGTTCCTCAATAGATGCATTTTAACATCGGAATTAGACAAATTTTCCAAGTACAATAAGCAGAGGCTCAATGAAGATTTAATTCGAGACAAACCATTGACCAATTCGGTCGAAGAAAAATATTTCAGCGATGTACATACTAAGAGGTCTTCGGTGCGCTGTGCCGAGAGATAATCCACGTAACCGTGACGAAACGGAGCGGTGAGCGTCCGTAAGATATCTCGAGTCGACGATTGTCACAGCCAATCGACGACATTCATCTGGCGAACGCAATAAGTGTACACGGATAATTGCCGTTATGCCGGCGGCCCGCGTTACGACGCGACGGTAGCTCTCTGACCGCGCGATCACCGACGCTTATCGAGCATCTCGTCTCTTCGCCGATATCCACGGACGCGTCGAACCGCACGTTCCGAGAACACGCCGTCGTGTTCCCGCTTGCTCACCGTTCATCTTCCTCTCTCCGTCACGATATTCCGTGGTCATCGATCATGCGAAGTAGGAGGACACGGTAGCCAGCAACAGGTAGCGGACGACGCCGCGTCGGACACGCGGTCGGAGCCGGAGGGCAAGCGCACGTTGCTAACGAGCGGGTAGTACTACCGTTGGGGATGCGAGTGCGACATGTGAGGATGGTAGGCGGCGTGATGGGGTGGCAGGGGCGAGGGACAGGACTGTTGATAAGGGCCGCCTAACATTGGCCCGGGACTCGAACATGGTACCAGGTGCGAGCTCGGCGAGCCCGCGTGTGCATGCGCGATCAGGTGCGCGTGCTGCGCGTGCGAGGGTGGCGCGTGCTGCGAACCCGGCGGCGGTGGCGGCGGGGGTTGCGGATGCCCTGGAGGGCCGCCGGTCGGTCCGCCGCCGGGGTATCCGCCGTGGAGCGAGCCACCGTGCGGCGAGCCATACACCAGTTGCCTTACTTTCTGCTCGTCGTCGGCTATGTTGTAGGTCAGTTCGGTCTCCTCGAAACCCGTCGCGGACATCCTCTGGTCGCCGGAGGAACCTGAGGCGGGCGGGTCCGGGCTGTTCAAGCAGGTCTGGATCAACGCCTTCCCGGCCTCGCTCGTTATCATCGGCTGCAGTTTTCGTGTCGCGAACGTGTACACATGCCCGGTCTCGCTCGCTACCAGCAGCATCACCTGTGTACCTGTCAGCGTCGACAACTCGTACGCCTGCAACCAGAGATAACGATTAATTAGGGTTGTCCCCGGGTCTCTTTCTCCGATTCGCTCTCCATCCGATTAATTATGTTACTTTTGATCACTTTTTGTTTCGTCCTTCATTCTCGTTTTCAACGTCTATTCAGCTTTTCTCATTTTGTTTCTTTAGTTGGAACCTGGTTTCAGTTGGAGAAGCGAATATGAAAACGAGACAAAGTTATTCGCCTGATTGTCATTAGTCAGAAGAATTGGCTCGCGAAAGTGGAAAATGGTACTTGGAACCGTTGCCGAACTATAGTCTGATTCAACTTCTTCATTAAAATTGCGATCGTATCTTCATTTTGCGAAGAGAAAGTTCGCAGGTTTAAATTTTGAGTGCGTGATAAAATTGACCGGAAATTTATATTACAATTAATGGAAATGATGTTTCTTTAAAGAAAGAATCCTGGCGCGAACTGTTAATTCGCAGCCGGATCCTTGAGTTACGAAAGTAATATTTTCCGTTGGAGTCTTAAACGTTCGACGTGTATCACAAACACCTGCTATATTCCACTGTTTATAGATCACACTTATGCAAATTGTTACCGCCTGCGCAATCATTATCGTACGATTTTTATAAATAATTAATTGGAAACGAGGGCAAGCGCGATGGAAAAACTGCGTACTTCGTTCTTTCTATCCGAGAGATTATACCTTTTAATGACATAATAATTATCAAGGCTTCCCAGACTGTTTACGCGAATAGCGCAGATGGAATTCTCTCTTTTTGCAGTGAAAACTGATGCTCCTACGAGTACGCATTGTGTATTTAACTCTAATCTAAATTGTAAAAATTCAGCCTGCTAACAAGAAACGCGCTGCTCGAGGGGGAACAACGCAACCGCGGCACGAAGATGAATAAACATAGTGGAACGTTATGAAATCGTTGTCTTTGGCTTAGATCAGTACGCCTTGTTGCATATTTATAGTCAAAGAAAGTATTCTGCAAAAGAGTATGCAAAACGGTACGGAGAAAACGATTGTTTGTAGTCTCCATTGAAATTTTGTGTAAACGAATATATAATTTTGTTTCCTTTACCGTTCGCTGTTTGTGCCTCATATATTCGTTCAAAGTCACCTATAACACACTCCGCATAATCTAAGAAAAATAGACAGCTTCAATAAAATTGTATGCACGAACATTTAACATTTTTATACCAGACATAATGTCCTCAATAAAAAAACTTATACTGTTCACATAATTATACCACACTTCGCGATTTATTTTGCATTAAAAATTTGCATTAATGATCAATTATCTAACTGCAAAAAGCGATACTTCCGCTGTTGTATTTCAATACGACTATAGCACGAAGAATAAAATATTGTAAAAGCTTCGTAAAGCTTGTTTATTTCCTCGCGGAAATTTCCAAAATCTCCCAAATCGTTTATAGCACGCGTGTAATTCCATTAAACACATGAAGTCAGACTAGTATTTTAAGTTTAAACTTTCCCTTATATAATTACTGATGTTTATCTCGAGATCGGTTTAAGTTTCCATTTTCCCGATGAAGTTATAAAGCAGTTATGTCAGTTTCGTGTCAAAACACGGCTAATTATAGTGGGCCGCCTTTAGGAAAGGGGAACAATCTATCTTTGGTTTTCTATATTTGTATGAAAGATGCAATTTGCCTTAGGTTCTTCTACGGATTTAGATACACCGCCGTTGGGATCAAATAAACAATTGTACCAAGCGCGAACAAACTGTTTTCAGATACAATTTATATACAATAACTAATTATAGATTTTGCTACTATTGATCTTGAATTATAACAAATATCCTTTCTTCGAAAAATTGCTATGTGAGTAATACTTCCCGTGCTAATATTAGCGTAAAAAGTGTATAATTTACTCATTTTATGTACAATTAACTTCGAGTTTACGATATGTTACTAATTTGAAAGTATACATAATAACAAAGATAAACATAGATATAATTTTCAACCGTACATGTTTAGTAAACGTTATCTCACTAGTGGCGATTAAAATCGAAAGAGTCGGATGATAAATATTGTCAAGATGCCTCGCACGTTGCCAATTTGCAACAGCGTGAGTTTGGTTGGTCGTCGGCGTATTTCGATCCAAAATACACGAATAGACTACCGGTATACAAATACACGTACAAAGCACAGTTGTCACTCATAAATCGCGCGCTCCCGGTTTCGCGTGCTCACGAAAGTCATCAACATACCTACGCTTGGAGTGTGCGATCACCGTAGCCATACGGCGTACAGCGATAATGCACGTTCCACCTCGTACTTACGTGTCACATTCGAAAACTGACTTTTCGCTCGCCGCGTACGCTCTGTTATCTCTCGTCGAATTTGAACGCACTCGAACACCGTTCCGAGAACACTATACGATCGCAATGACCGATGATCGATAGCCGGGATCGACGAGACGGGCTCGGCACAGGTTTTTCTTTTACGTTTAACGAGAAATAACTACTGCTAGGTAGGTCGACAGGTTTGCCAGATACGAACCTTCTTCATGATTCCGGTTTTTCTCTTAGAGAACGTGGTGTACCTCCGTAGCTTGTTATCGATGTATTCCATTTTAATCTTGACCCGTCCCTTGGTCTTCTTCCCGTTCGATGGGGGTGACTTTTTCGGCTGGCCCAAACTGGTGAACGATTCCTCGAGATTGTCGGGGACGCAGTCAGCGGACATCGACATGCCCTGCTGTTGCGAAAGCGCTTGCCGGGCGTTGCTGTCATCGTAGCATACGTCCGAGGTGGTCCTCTTGATACCTCTCTGAACGGATCCCACGCCGGCATTCGGTGCGCCCGCAGCGGCCGCCGCAGCCATCATGGTGGCGCTATTGCGGCTTATTTGAGAAGTTGTTAGCTGGGAGGTGGACGGTCGGCCGTACATTTCCGAGCCAGCGTCGCTGCCTATCATCCCCATGCTGTAGCCAAGGTTTGCGTATCGACTGTCTCTTGCGCCGCTAGGGTTGTCCATTACGGACCCGCGCACATTTATTCCCTTTCCCTCGGCCCTTCTCCGCCACGGAATCGCGAAAACTCGGCGCAATGTTTCCCACGTGATCAACCATCTAGAGGAACACGGGACAACAACGCGCACTGCACGAGCGCTCCCCGCGAACTGAATGCGCGCCGAGTATCGTAACTTGACCTACGTGCTAACGCGGTGCCTCCGTGCGTTCCAGCGCAGCCGGTACCCCCACCGATGGTCGCGTGCGCTGTCGAAAACTAGTCCACTCTATCCGAGCACGGTTACCTGGCGAAAGATCCTGGAAAATTTCTTCGTCGAAAAATCAAGCCCGTTACCGTGGACATCGATCACCTGGCAAACATCTTTTGCGCGGCTTCCGTATCCGAAAATTTGTCACTGAAAGATCGCGCGGAGTGGTACAAGAATCGGCGAGAGGGCGTCCCCGGCTGCCATATTTAGAAGTAGACGTTACCATATTAGGGAAAGTTTGCCAAATATGGTGAACAGAGGTGGTCCTTCCTTTTCAAATGATCACTCGGCGCGCCGCGACAAAACACCAATCCAACTGACAGTAGCGCTTCCTGCACGCCTCTCCTCCCTCCTTCTTTCGCCAGTATGTCCTTCCTATTTCTACGTGCTTGCTAAAACATACGACTGATAAGCGGCTCTCTTTCTCTCTCCCGTTTGTTGGGCCGCTATTTCTTACCGCCTCTCTGAGCTTTCGTGCTTTTATCAAGTTCTGTTTACGTTCAGATCTGTGCATCATCGTTCCTGTTTCAGCTGCTGCTTGTGTTCAACTTTTTGTCGGGTCGAAGGTAATAACGCGAGTCGATGCTTTTGTATAACAATGCGAAACAGTTAACGAGATCTTGTTATATCGAAGCACTGTTTACGCTCGCATCGTTACATCGATTCGGATGTTGATTCTCGTGAATATCTGTCCAACATTATACGCACGAACGTGTTATGAATCATGTTTTAATATTTATAACTTAATGGATGTAGAACGTACTAGATGATTGTGTGGGACAAATCTGTGTGCTTTACAGAATTGAATCTATATATTAATGGACAGGAGCATTAAAATTTCATGATATTCCTGTCGATATTCATTTTTCTTCCTCATGCAAATGTTTTGACATCATTCCTTATAACTGTGAACATGCTTGTTCATTTGGAGCATTAGAAATCAACTGGGAAATAATGATTTGCTTTAGCATATTGTATTTGTAATCCAGTAAAAGATGAAACATATGCTATATATACCTGTTATGAGT